AAATAAATGTTTAAAAAGAAAAAGATAAAAGAGAAGAAAAAAAAAAAAAAGACCTCCATGGAGGAGAAAATGCAAGCTGTTAAGAGAAAGAAAGATTTCAATGAGTTATCTGGTTTGTGGTTGAGCTCTAAAATCTATATATTAAATACAATGTCATCATTGGCTTGTACTTGTCATTATTATTGTTACTTAGAAACACAAACTTACTCTAAACACATATGAATGATTAAGAAATAGCTAGAGCAGCATTAAAAAAAAACACCAAAAAAACCCAAAAAGATGAACTTGTTCCATGAGACAGCAAAGCAGGATCATACTAGCATACGAAAAAGGAAAAATGGGGAACCAGGCATGGTGGCATGTTGGGGAGGCTGAGGGCTGAGGCAGAGGATCACTGGAGTTCGAGACCAGCCTAGAGGGGGCATGGGAGAGGGGGAGAGAGAGAGAGGGAGGGAGGGAAGGGGGAGAGAGAAAGAGAGGGAGGGAAGGAAGGGGAGAGAGAGACAGAGAGAGAGAGAGAGAGAGGAAAAACCATTGGTAGAGATTCCATAGAGAAAAAAGTTAAAATAGATTCCCGACTGATACTACAAAGTTTAGATTCTAAATGGATTAAGAATCTAAAATCTAGGGCTGGTGAGATGGCTCAGTGGTCTAAAGCACCTAATTAGAACAAGCTTAGCAAAAGCCCAGGGACCACAGTTCAATCCCCCAGCACCACATGCCAGCCAGCCCGCCCCCTGGTGGGCTGAGCTACCCCCCCCAAAAAAAAAAAATCTAAAATCTAAAACTAACAAGGCTGGCCAGATAGCTCAGTGGACTAAGTGCCTGCTTAGCAGAGTGCAGTGGCCATGGTTCGATCCCCAGCATGCCCTGCTGGCCCCGCTCCTGGGGAAGTGGTGGCACAGCCTGTAATCCCAGCTCTTGGGAGGCTGAGAATAGAAGAATCACTATGAGTCTGATCTACGTAGTGAGACCCTGTACTAAAAAAAACCCCAAAAACTAAAACTATAAAGTTCATAAAAGGCAATACAAAAAAACTTAAGCAATAAGTTCAAAGTACAAAATTTACATACCTATTATATAAAATAAAAAATTGTAAAAACATTACTTGCCAAAGTATCAAATTTGTAACTATAGAGGCTGGTGAGATGGCTCAGTGGTCTAAAGCACCTACTTAGAACAAGCTAAGCTAAGCAAAGCACAGGGACCGCGGTTCAATCCCCCAGCACCACATGCCAGCCAGCCCTGCCCCCTGGTGGGTTGAGCTGGCCACACACACACACACACACACACACACACACACACAATAAATAAATAAATAAATATTAAAAAAATTGTAACTATGCCTTAAGACTATTTACTCCAAGAAATATTCACTTCAACACATAGGGTTCATGACTCTGGGGAAAATATAACAGATGGCTATAATTTTACATCACAGTAGTAGGTAGATAGTATAAACTTTTTTTATCCCATAAATATCACCATTTTATTTCTTCATCCTTCTTATACTAGAATCCATATAAACTCCCAAAATACAGAAGAGTAAAGCTTATTCACCATAAACAAATTTATCAATTATAATCTTCCTTCCATATTTACAATACTTTCAAACTACAAGAACTGATATTATATTCCTTAAAATTAGTACTATGAATCCTAAGCAAATGGACCTAAAAGGACAGAAGTAACATAGACACAACTGAATGGAATTAAAATGATACTTAACTCAAGTTTAACTCAAAATTTAGATAACCTTAAAAGCTTTGGTTACACTATAATTATTTTATTTTGCTACTGTCAGCTTTCATAAGAGCTAGAATAAATTCCTTAGACTCAGACTATAAAAAATAAAAACACAAAACCCAGGGCTTGTTTTTAAATAAGTTGTCTTGAATTTAGGCTTGAATGTAATAGCTGGGCAAACACCAACACTGAAGGCATCATGGACTGTATATTAATTCCTCAGAGAGTAGGATATTAGAAATATATTAGGTGCAACATTTATGACCCCTAAATGAAGGCTATCTGCTTAGTCTAAAAACCATTCCTCTTCCCACCTCCTTTCTGTGTCATGCTACTCTGAACTGAACCTCTCATTAGAGCCAGTAAAATCTAACACATTAGTATTATACTATCTACTTAATTTATTTAATAATTAAAATATCTTTTCTCCAAGCCTCTTCAAGTTGGCTCCCCCCAAAAGCTACCTCCTATTTTACAAAACTATGAAGCCACCGCTCAAGGGTATGACACAGTAATCTATAGGTACTTTAAGTGTATTAGATTAATAAAATATACCTGGAACAACAACCTGGCTGCCTGGGACAAAGAACTGCTGGGTGCCATCAGCTGCCTGCGCTGCGTACTGTACAATTGTGGCATTTGGAGTAGGAGCTCCTGAACTTGTCATTGTTAATGCCTGCAGGCCCTGAACACCTTCAGATCCCGGGTTAGAAATCTGGATTGCTCCACCTTGGGCTATAGCAACTTAATAGAAAAAGAAAAGAAATATTAGAGAACTTCCAGCTTCATTTTTAATAATCCCATATTGGGAGAATATACAGCAGGCTACGTATTACCATTGCTTCTCATTCTTAAGTTACTCTTATTCTTTAATGCTAAATTGATGAAGACTATCAACTTCTTTGTGGAACGAGACTTTTACAAAGCTGATATACACTTGAGTATGTGTTCTATTCAGACCTCGCTGACATTCCTGGAGACCAAGGCATTTTCCTCTTCCCTGGAAGCCACCCAACTAAATTAAGGGGAAGAAAACAGAAGCAGACAGAGTCTAGATTCTTGGCCTTCTTGATTCTCTTAGGTGTTTTTAGTTCTAAACAACATTCTTAAGAAGTGATCAGTAAAATTTCCACTAAGCAATGCAATTATGAACTTTACCTTCATTTGGCCAACTACTTTCCTAACTTATCGCTAAAAGAAAGTGGCTTTCAACACAGAATATACAGTATATCATACATTTTGGTTTTAAAGCTCACACTTACAAAGCAGTCATCTTTATCTATGTCAAGATAACTCTAAAATATAAAGTGGGAAACTGGAAAGGACCTAACAAGGTAACACTACTTAACTACAGGCGTGCTCTCAACTACAGGACTAGCAACAAATATGAAGCAGACTCCCTTTAAATGCTGAGACTGGCCAGGCATGTTAAAGTTAATGTATTAAACTTTCAAAGGAATGCTCAAAGTCTGGCCTTAAAATTGTACTAATAGACAACAACTATTCAAAATAACTGAAAGGTCCATATGTTTTAACATAAAGGTTACAACAGTACATTTTAGTTTGAGCAATGGAAATGAATCACAACCAAGGGTCATCTCTTTTATTTTAATCAAATATAAACTAGCTAACTAGGCTTTGCAACGAAGATTTTAAAAACATCATAAAACCATGTCATAAGAATAACACCACATTTCTCAATAAAATTATGGGAAAAAAATAAAAAATTAAAAATTAAAAAAATAAATAAGAATAGGTAAAGAAAAAAAAGAATAACACCACACATATAAATTAGTGTAGACATATTACAATAGTGATTAAAATATACTAAAAATTTTGCCCAAGTCACTTTCTTTTTCTTTTTTTTGAATTAATTTTCAAGTCACTTTCAAATAATTTTAGTGATACAGAAGCAAAAGGCCATGCGGGTGATAACCTGGTAGTATGCATCTTTCAGAATTATGACAGAGTAAAAATAATAAATTTGCAGGTCTTTAACCTAAGGTTCCAGTGCCTAGTACAGAAATAAGGATTGACATTTAAAAATTTTTTTTGTTTGCTTGTTTATTTTGTACTGGGGATCAAACTCAGCACCTTGCACTTGCCAGGCAGGTGCTTATGCCACTGAGCTATCTCCCCAGCCTAATATTTTTAATTTTTAAGGGTTAAGACATTAATTAACTAAAAAAATAGTTCTGGCTGGCCCTGAACGCACTACAGAGCCCAGGCTGGCCTTGTATTTGGGGTGATTCTCCTGCCTCAGCCTCCCAAGCTCTAGGATTAGAGGGTGCACAACCTTGCCCATCAAGGTTAACACTGTGGAAGACTTCGGCACAGACCCTCGAGGAGTGTGTTAGTTCACTGACAGGCTAGTCAGAATGCAGTTGCCAGAAGCTGAACAATCAGCTGCAGGTCACCGGTGAGTTGAGAAGCTGACAGGACAACATAGCTCTGGGCGCGGTGAGCATTGGTCTCCATACACGCTTGAAAACAGGTATGGTCGGTGCTCCGAAGACTTCAAGGGTCTCGGGACTCAGCCTTACAATGGAAGAGTTTGGGGAGAGATCTGACTTCGTAGAGGAGGGCGAAAAAGAGGAGAAATACTTGTTTTCTTGGATCTTCGTGGCTGGACATAATGAATTTTGTTGTTATCATATATTTTAATGTGTTTGTTTAGCTGATAAGGTATTCATTTGATGTGATAAAAACAATGCCTTAGAAACATGGCCAGAGATATTATAACCACAGTGTGTTAAAACACAAAGAGCCCAGCACAGAGCAAGTGATCAATAAATAAAATAAATAAATGATTTACATCTTCTCATATCATGAACTTGTGGGATATAGCTTTCTAACCAGCATCATGCTGTACAGGACTAAATTAAACTCCCTTCAGAGTCCGCGACTTCTGATGTGGCAGAGACACAGGCTACACTTCCCAAGCGCAGTTCTCAGGTTCTCACGGGAACTCGGGCAGCCTCTGGCCTCTCACCCCCTCAGCTCCCCGGGAGGTCTGGGTCGCCGGGCCCCTGCAGGAGCCGCCCAAGGAATCTGCGCTGCTGCGGCACGGGGGTGGGGGCGGGGAGCCCTGTGGATGTGAATGTAGCGCCAGCAGCACGACAACTGTCCCCTTCACCTGCTAGCCGCATCTGTCTCCACATAAACCCTAGAACTGGGCAAGTTAAAGTATTACCATTTCAAAGATTAAACGTGAGATGCAAAGCAAAAGCCTCGCTGTGATCAATGTAGACGTAAACAGTATTCCTGCCCATACTCTCTGCAGCTGAAACATCCACTCAAGGCTCTCTGCTGTGGTTTGTGTCTAGCTGTCCCCGCAAAGCCTCATGCAGTCATGGGGCGACTTCTAGAGTTTGTGACTAACTCTGGTCCAACGTAGGGCCTACGGGTGGGAGTCCTGTGGCAGAGAGCCTGAATACAGTATGATGAAAGAAAAGAGGCTGGCTTTCTGCGACTGCTCCTCCTTTTGCTCTTGTTGCTTTTGCTGTTTTTCGCCGCCATGAACTACTGCCTTCCGTCACATGCTACTCTGCCCTAGAGCCAGCTGAGCATGGACTGAAACCTCCACGAACTGTGAGCTAAATAAACCTGTCCTTCCATAATTTTGGGCATCAGGTATTTTGTTCCAGCAACAAGAGAAAAGTTATGGAGACACCATCCATATGTCGTCACGATCTCCAGCATTCAGTACTTCAGGGTTTAACCAATAGGGTCCACCTCTTTGTTACCTTGCAAAGGGATCACTGCTTCTATGAGAATTCCTATGCCACATTAGGTTATGCTAAAGGAATGTCATGAGGACAGCCTCTAGGCTCACATCCAGAACTTTGAGAGGTGCTAGCATTATTCAGCAGTAATGCCCATTTTTCCTGTGATGACACAGAGAAAAGGACAACACGGGGATAACCCTCCAAGGTAAACCAATGCAGCTGCACAAGGCCGGGCTGCCCACCTCCTCCAGGGACTGAGGTGTGAAGCTTTGCACACCTGGGCCTGGTGTCACATCACAGTCCCAGCTGCCAAAGCAATGCAAGTCAGACGGTAATTATGTTATCAGAGAAGCAGTAAACCACACTGAACACCTCAAGTCTAACTCTGCAGTGGGGGGTCAGGCGTGATCATTGTTATTACAACACCAACTTTGGACAGGTCCATTCAGCATCCTGAAGAGGCTGTGGGTTATTTACACCCCACTTCTAAGAGCTAACATCATAGAAGCTTCCCAAAAATCATCCAAAGAGAATTAGTTCGATAGTTTAATAAAGCAAATCTATCACCACTACAAGAAAGATTATAATGTGTTTTAACAACCAGCACTTACAGACTTGAGCCTTTTCTAGGTACTGTTATGCCTTTTTAAAGCATCTTTTTAAAAACAGCATGATAGGCCGGGAAAATGGCTCAGTAGAATAAGAGCTTCCCTGGCAAGCATAAGGGCCTGAGTTCAATTCCCGGTTCCACAAACACACACACACACACACACACACACACACACACCCAGCAGCATGTATCTAAAATCTTGATGCCTTATTTGAGCAATCACAGTACTTGCTATCACATATATTTCAGTATCAATGTAGCTTTTTCCTCCATCCTCTCTTCCCCCTTTACATTGCTTCCCAGCTCTCATTTGTCAATCTTTTCTCTTGACTTTGGAAAAAAAATATTGTTTAATTAGAGCAAAAAGCACAGAATTAATAGTCCATTAAAATGCACAACACTAAAAGTGAATGTATCTGTTTATTTAGAGCTTTCAGTGCATAAATTTCAAGTAAAATGTATCCAGTTGCTATAATTTTAAAAATTAAATCATATTTTCATTGTTTTAGGAAAACATGTACTGCATATTAACATAGTAGAGGGTAATAAAAACAGAATTTGATTTAAAACATAATTTAGAAAAAACATATGTACCTGTTTTAGATTAGTAATATGTTGGTAACAAAAACCAAGAATGGAAGACAAATATATGCTTGCATGCAACATAAAGACAACAGAAAACTTTTAACTTTAACTTGCAATGAATATAAACATATAAATAGAAAACCCTTTTATTTTTATTCCCAAATTTTCTCCTATATTTAGCAATAAAACTTTTTACTTTCCACAAGTATATCATGCTGTCAGTTCAAATCTCCCACTGTTTTCACATGTACTTTTCATTCTATGATCCACAGTTTAGGTAGTAAGGGCACATTTTAAAATGGGACAATGTATTGCTAACAGCCCAGTTGCTCCAGTGTGACAGGAGAAGGCTTAAGCTAGTGCCGTATCATAGCAACTGCCGCATACATACTGTATTGCCCCGTGGAAGTCTGATATATGCTAGTTGGTACAGCCATGCTGCTGATGTTAGAGGGCCTTCCTCCTTCCTCTGACTTCTCTTCCTCAATCTTGGGAACACCAGGCACATCAGAGGAAAGTTCATTCAGTATTCTTCTGAAATATAATGTAACAATACAAGTAATTAAGGTATAGAAAGCAGACTTTAAAAAAAGCGAGCAACAATTTTGATAACAATATGAATATAACAACCGTTGTTAATTTTCTGTTCTTGTTTTGAAATTCTGTGCCCATTTTAATTTTTTTTTTTAAAGAAAAGCTATACAGAAACAGTTGCTTTTTTTTTTTTTTTTTTGCAGAACCGGGGTTTGATCTCAGGTCCTTGCGTTTGTCAGGGAAGCACTTATTCCACTAAGCCATCTCCCCAGCCCCAGAAACAGTTACTTTGATCTATAACTTTTCTACCTTTTTGGAAAAAAAATATTCAGTAGGAAATGTTCACTCACCTGTAAGAGGGTCTCCGTGAAAGGATTTCTCTCTGTTTATGAGAATCAATTATACCTTCTGAGTCTGCAGGCTCATCCGTCTCTGTAACTGTTGCTACCTACAACATAAAAGTTTCTGAAAGGCATCATAAAACACATGATCTTCTGCACTGGGAGTCTGTGGCTCAGGTCGTGGTGTCCAGCATGGAGCCAGGGGCTGAAGCACGGCCCAGCAGTAAGATGCAGTGAACCTGCACTATTGGAGCTCGTGCTCTGGCTCAGGAGAGAGAGCACCAACTCAAACATTCAAGTTGTGGAAAAGAAAAGTGTGGTCAAGAATGGAATAGATAATAAATACTATAGAAATGCAATGGCAGGCCCAGCCAAATAGCTCAGTGGATTAAACGTCTGCTTAGGCAGAGGCAGGGACCAGGAGTTTGATCCCTGGGCCTGCCATGCCGGCTCTACTCCTGGGGCGAGCTGAGATGGCGATTGAGACTGGGTGTGTAATCCCAGCACTTGGGAGGCTGTAAACAAGAGGATCACTATGAGACCCTGTGACCCTGTCCTAAAATACAAAAGAAAAGAAATGCATTGGGAAGACTGTTACCATCGTCAAGTGAGGCTTTCCAGGGAAGGTCAGACTTAAGACACGTTATGTCCCAAATCCTAACCCTGAGAGTATGGTAACAAATCCAGCAGAATGTGTGAGGTAGGGACTGAGGCAATAAAAATGATTTGATTTCACTGCTTTCTTTAGGATGTCAGGGCTGGCTTGAACAGGGTCTTCAAATTAGGCCTAGGACAGGATCACAGAAAAAAAGAGTACTTGTATAAATAAGTATGTAAACTAGGATGGCTAAAATTAGGATTTACATTATAAAGAGTAGGTTAGGCTTGATGGTAGTGGGTCTTAAAGGTGAAAATAAGGAATTTCTTCTTAAAAGATATATCTGAGTTTTCAGTATGATTTCATTTTTCAAGTCAGGTAGGGCTACAATAATTTGATTATTAAGGAAAGTCAGAAAACTAGAATAATGAATACAAAACATATGTTGTCAACAATATTCAGCCATTTAATTTTCTTTCTTTCTTTCTTTCTTTCTTTCTTTCTTTCTTTCTCCTTTTTTTTTTTTTTTTGGTGGAACTAGGGATTGAACTCAGGCACTTGCACTTGCCAGGCAAGTGCTTATTCTCCTGAGGTATCTCCCCGGTCCTCAGTCACTTAATTCTGAGGCCTATGGGGCAGCGGAGTTTATAAACCTCACTTTACTTGATATTAAATTATATGAGAATTTGATTTGAGGTACAATGAAGAATTTACTAAAATATCAAGGATCTAAGTGAGGGCCAACAAGATAGCTCAGTAGACTAAAGCACCTGCTTAGACAAGCTTAGGTAAAAGCAGAGACCATGGTTTGATCCCTGATACCACATGCCATGGCAGTCCTGCCTCCAGGGTGCGCTGAGCCAGCCAGAGTCTGGGCATAGTGGTGTATGCCTGTAATCCCAGCTCTGGGGCGGCTGAAAGCAGAAGGATCATCATAAGTGCGGGCTGCATGGTGAGACCCAGCAACAACCAAATACATTAAAAAAAAAAAAAAAAGAATCCAAGTAAAAAGGTTGAAGTGGGAGTATTTGCAAGTTTGAGTCTGGCCTGTGCAACTTAGCAAGACTCTGTCTCAAAAAAAGAAAAGAAAAGGTTGAGGATGTAGCTTAGTTGAAGGCCTTGGGTTCAATCTCTAGTATCACATACATATATACATACATATGAGAATATACAGATCCCAAAGAACAAGGACGTGCATACACAGCCACTATGTGTGTGACTACACACACCTGGTCATGAGCACCCACACCTAAGCACATACAATCAGTGAACAGCGCTTCCTGGAAAAATGTTGCTGCCTTAGACAGTGCTGCCTCATTACTAAATATCACTTATGCTAGGCTTCCACATCAACATATCATCATCACACTTGCTTACATGAAGTGGCCTATTACTTTACCCAATTTAGAGAACACTAAAGTTCATCCAGAGAGGTTCAGTGCCTTGTCTACTGTCCAACAGGCAGAAATCCTACAAGCAGCTCTATTAGATTTATCTCTTACAAAGACAAGTCATTCACTTAACAAAATTTAAAACAAGTTCATGGAATATATGGCAATATGTTCTTCCAGTTTCAGCCTGGATAAAACTAAGCAGAAATAGTTGCATCCCAGTAGAAGCCCTAATACAAAGAGGAGTATAAAAAGATTTCATTTTTTTCATCACTAGGGCCAGAAAGATTTGAAAAACTCTTGAATCAAGGATTACCATAGAGGCCGGAGAGATAGCTCAATGTCTAAGTGCCTGCCTGGCAAGCCCAAGGACCTGGGTTTGTGGCAGCACATGCCTGTAATTCCAGTACTGGGGAGGCTGAGAAAGAAGGAACATGACGGCCAATCTGGGTAGAGAGAACAACAACAAAAAGGGATTACCATAGAGAATACAATGATGAGATTATTCCTACACTTCTGAGCAACAAAGATGCCTATACTGAAGATAATCAAGCTTTTAAAGTATGTGGATTAAAACTAAACTAAAAATAAAGTATGTGGACTACTTCACATCTCATGCTGCCTCTCTCATCATTATTCTTTTTTAAATTTATTTATTTAATTTATTAATTTTTTTTTGTGTGTGTGGCCAGCTCAGCCCACTTGGGGGCGGGGCTGGCTGGCATGTGATGCTGGGGTATTGAACCGCCGTCCTTGTGCTTTGCTAACCTTGTTCTAAGTAGGTGTTTTAGACCACTGAGCCATCTCACCAGCCCTTAAATTTTTTTTTTAATTTATGTGTGTGTGTGTGTGTGGCCAGCTCAGCCCACCAGGGGGGCGGGGCTGGCTGGTATGTGGTGCTAGGGGATTGAACCTCGGTCCCTGTGCTTTGCTAAGCTTGTTCTAAGTAGGTGCTTTAGACCACTGAGCCATCTCACCAGCCCCCTCATCGTTATTTTGAGATGAACTATAGTCAATATGAAGGTAGGGGTAAGACCACACGCTTTTCCATTTTCATCAGATCTTGTCATCTCTTAGGTTCAAATAATCTCAGCATTTAAAGTATAATAACATAATAAACTGACCTTAAAAATGAACCAAAATAAGTTCAGTAAAAAAGAAAAGTATTCCTTTAAAAATGTAAATTTAACAATTTACATCTGTTGATCAAAAATATTTTGCCTCCAACTAATGTTAAGAATTTATAACAAACCTCAATAACAATAAATAGTAGCATACATCTCTGGATCAAAACCACAATATCAATCACAGCTACACAAGACAAAGTTTAACCTGGGAAGAAAATATGATATATAAACACAACACCCACATGACAATAATCCAATGTCACTTTCAGACTGGGGGTGTAGCTTGGCATACATAAGGTTCTGGGTTCAGTATCCAGCACGCAAATAAATGAACACATGCACACATAATTTCTAAGGGTTATCCACACTGAATTTAAAATAAATTTCAATCAACCTCTTGAGTATTCATGAACACATACCAGAACACACACCTTCATATTGTGTGAATGGATTATCTCTTCCTCTAAAAACCCTCAATGCATTTTTTTAAAAATTATTTATTTATTTATTTATTTAGTGTGTGTGTGTGTGTGTGTGTGTGTGTGGCCAGCTCAGCCCACCAGGGGCGGGGCTGGCTGGCATGTGGTGCTGGGGGATTGAACCGCGGTCCCTGTGCTTTGCTAAGCTTGTTCTAAGTAGGTGCTTTAGACCACTGAGCCATCTCACCAGCCCCCCTCAATGCATTTTTTTTTTTTTTTTTTTTTTTTTTGTGGAACCAGGGATTAAACTCAGGTCCTTGCACTTGCCAGGGAAGCGCTTACTCCACTGAGCTATCTCCCCGGCCCCCCCTCAATGCATTTTTAAGCACCACTGCAGAGCTTTGTTAAAAAGTAAATAAACCAGAGTTTGAACACAGAACCATTTGCAGAAGACAGGAACTGCTGCTCTGGCAATTATTCATCCTATAAACTATAAGCTGATGATGCTCCAAGTCCTCAGCCACATCTAAGGGCCTAATAGCGCATACCACACATAAAGAAATACCCTCAAATATCTAATAAAAAAAACTTGTATATAAAGTCTACATAAATGAGTTAGTAAAATAAAAATGAACAAGGCCCACCAAAGTCAAGACAAATCAGCCAGGAAGGAAGCTAGCTAGAACAGTGTGTTCACGCAGGCTGTGATGGTTGTGGTGTCTGAATGACTCCTGGACTCTTACGGCATAGCCTGACAGTAACAACTAGAGTAACAGATGGGGAACCTCTTCCAGTGCTTGATCCTGCTATAAAAACCTGCAAAAATGATCGTCACTGAGGATTAGAGCTGGACCTGTTCTCAATGTTTTGATCTATTTTTAAGAAGTACAGCTGGGTGTGATGGTATACACATGGGAGGCTGAGGCAGGAAGATTGCTGCCAATTCAAGGCCAGCCTGGGCTACACAGTACACCGTGAGGTCAAGGATAGCCTGAACCACCCTATCTCAGAAAAACGAAAATGAAAACAACACTGTAATTCACTGTTAGGATTGGACAACTTCTCTTTTTTCTGCTTCTAAGAAATGACAAACAACTGGGGGTACTTACTATGCAGAGGACGTCCCTGTCCTGGAACTATTATTCTCTGGTATGACACAGTGTAAAGAACCCATGCTCCTCACGTTTGGTGCCCATGCTTGGGTGGATGAGAGTGTTTGGAGCACAGGGTTCCAAAGCAGTTAAACTACCTCACAGCTACTAACAGTGAAGCCTTTGGAGGCCAGAGTATGAACTACCTTCTTTAATTTCATAAGAGAAACTGGAGCTAGAATATAAATTGGTGAACTGTGCTTCACACATGACAAGTCTAGTAGCATTTCAGCTGTGAGCTGATGCCATCTCTACTCTCCTAAGGACTCATGCCCCTATAAGCACAAAAGGCACAGACCAAAGAAATTCTGTCAAGTCCTAGTGTGTCTAATCTAGAGAAGGGTCCTGTCATGGAGCTGAGGTAACCTCCTGACACTCCTTTTCCCAAGATGAAGACCTTCCAGGCACAGGGCCTGAAACA